CCATAGTTTGGTACCATCCACACAGTCAAATGTCTTGGAAAATAATGTGTCAGTAAAACAGAACAACACAATATCTTTCTGGTATTCTCTGGTTTGAGCCAACATCCATCTTACAGAAGCAATGTGATTCTTTGCTCCGTGTCCTCCTCTGAGTCTGACCTGAGCCTTGGGAAGTTCCATGTCCATGCACTGCTGCAACCTTTGTTGGAGGATCTTCGGTAAAATTGTATTTGCTTGTGAGGCCAGTGATCTCATTCTACAGATTGAGCATTCTGTTTGGTCACCTTTCTTTGGAATGGGCATAAATATTCTTTTCCAGTCAGAAGGCCACTGGTTTCAGTGGATAATGCTTTCAACAGGTTAATTCTTTGAGTGCAGTGTGAACTTCTTTCTTCAGCACCATTAGTTCTTGCTTATATTGTACCTCCTCTAATGGGGGGATTTCTACTAGCTCTTTTTGGTACAGACTGTATATTCTTTCCATCTTCTGTTGATGATCCCGTATCTTTCATTATGTTGCCTGTATATTCTTTCCCTCTTCTTTTTTTGATCCTGTATTTTTCAATATATTGCACATAGAATCTTTCAATATTGCAACTTGAGGCAAGAATTTAGTCCCACGTTAATCCTAGATCTCTCCAAAATTGGATCACAGCTACAAGAATAGAGGCTGGACCTATATTGTACCACAAGCATAGTTATGGATTAAATGGCCATATTAGTTAACTATAAGTCAATTGTTCAATAATTACCACATTTTGTGAGGTCACCTTTCTTTGGAATGGCTATAAATATGGATGCATTTCAGTTGACTGGCCAGGTAGCTGACTTCCAAATTTCTTGGCATGATGCTCCCAGTGCTTCACCAGTAGGTTGGAACTCCTCAATTGCTGACCTGTCCCTTTCTGGAGCCTTATTTTTCAATAATGCATTTAATGTACCTGGGATGGTTTCCTGTAGTACCTTGGTTCTTGATCTCATGTTATTTCGTGAATATTTGAACGTCTTTTCTGGCATATTAACCATACGATTGACTGATACAAAATGGTCAATACTTGTCCTTTTCAGTGTCAATATTTGTCCTTTCCAGTGCATTACTTTCTAAGATATCAATCTTTATGTGTTTCATTTTACTTTTTGATGGCTTCCAGTTTTCCTAGATTCACACTTCATACATCTGTGTTCCAATTATCAATAGATGTTTACAGCCATTTCTACTAACTTGAATTATGCTCCATCAGCTAACAAAGTTCCTGAGAGCTTTACTCATTATCAACTTCATTATGCTTTACTGTACTTTGAGATTGTTGCTCTTCCTCAGTAATATTTTAAGTGCATTTAAGCCTCATTGTCAGCACTATAGCTGACAGTGTCCCTGTGAAATTTGTGACCATTTCAGTATCCAACCTTGTTCAGGCGGTACAAATAAGGTTTTCAATGTCCTTTTTTCGAGAAGCAGACAGCTTATTTCTTCTTTGACGTCTGTTCATAGTCGGGAAGCTCTAATGAAACCTGTTTTCCTTGGATGGTCCTGCTGGTATTTGAAATACCAGTGACATAGCTGCCACAATTATTGCAACACGTGAGCCACCACATATGAAAAACTGACAGAAAAGTGGTGGAAACATGTATACACATTAACACAAATAAAATAGCCTCAAATTGGGAAGAACAGCTTCAAATAGGCACTATTAATTGGAATGCAAAGTGTCCAAAGTATGAATCTAGGAAAATTGGAAATTCTAAAATATGAAATGGAATACACAGAGATTGAGATTTTATACATTAGTGAGTTGAAATTGACTAATATTAGCCATTTGACAAGCTAATAATGTGGGTTACCCTGTTGGGAAGGAAAAAATTCAAAAGGAATGGAGTCAAAACCATTGTCAAAAAGAATACATCAAGATTTATTTTAAAGTACAATGTTGCCTGTGAAAGAATACTATCTACATGTATGCCAAGAAGTCAAGTTAATAAAATTTTCATTTAAATTTACACAGCAAACAATAAACTAATTATGAGGAAATTTGAAGAATTCTAACAACTTCATCACTATGAAAGTGAATAAAATTGCAATCAGGATGTATCTATAGATTTGAGTGATATGAATGCAAAAATTGGAAGCAAAGAGGAAGGAACAGTACTTGGAATATATGGCTTTAGTGACTGAAATTAAGCTGGAGATCCCATGATAGGATACTGAAGACCAATGACTTATCCATGGAAAAATATTTTTTCAATGACATAGATGGTGTACGTACACTTGGACCTCACCAGTAGAACACACAGGAATCAAATCAAGAATGTCATACATATAGATTTCAAAAGGACATAAACATTTTTGAAGAGATCAAAATGTATGTCAAAGAGTCTCTGCAACTTTTTGTTGAAAGGAAATGGCTAAAGCAAATGGAAGAAGTGATTAAGCAAATGGATAAAACTTTTCAAAGGACAATTTAAGAAGACAATATAAAGCATGATAATGAAAGGCACACAGGCCTGGAATGAGAAGGCCAAAATAAAAAGGACACGCTCAGCTGAATGATCTGATGAAAAACAGTTAAGTTTTAAGTTGCGATGTTGAATTCTGTGCACATAATGTTGAATGGTGCAAGAAGCATCAACACAATGAGAAAATTACTCAGGCTAACTCTAACAAAAGATTTGGTAGATATTCAATCATTTGACAATAGCAGATTAACAAGAACCAATGATATGGAAGGAAGGCATCCAAGCTCCTCTGAAGACGCTATAGACAAATGAGTCTCTAGGAATTTGAACACCAATCGAAACACTTCAGCCAGTTGGTGCAGAAGTGGAAGCACTCACTCATCTATGCTAAGAAATTTGGAGGCAAGGTATCTAGCCAAAACAACTGGAAGAGATATGTATTTATGTATATTTCAAAGAAAATTAACTATTTTATTGATTAATATCATTAATATAACATTCACATACATTTTGCTGAATATCATTCAACAAGAGTTTAAGAAATACATCAATATGGAGTTTCCAGGAATTCAAACTGGTTTCAGAAGAGGACCTAACATGAGAGATATCATTGCAGATGTCAGATGGATCTTGGCTGAAAGCAGAAAACACCAGAAAGATGTTTGCTCCATTTGACTATAATGTAAGAACAAACTATGGACAATACTGAGAAAATAGCAATTCCAAAACTTCATTGTGTTTATGTGGAACCTGCCCAGGGACCAAGAGTCAGAGGTAGGAACAGAAAAAGGGAACAGGGCGATGTTTAAAATGAGGAAAGTGTGTGTGTCAGGACTACATCCTCTCATCATATTTACTCAAACTGTATGCTGAACAAGTAATCCTAGAGGTCAGATTATATGAAGAAGAACTAAGCATTGGGATTGGGAGAAACTTAATTAACAAGCTTCAATGTGCAAATAATAAAATCATGTTTACTGAAAATGAGGAGAACTTGAAGCAGTTGATGAAGTTCAAGGACTGCAGCCCTCAGTAAGGGTTATGACTTAATGTAAAGAAAAACAAAGTCCTCTCAACTGGACCAATAGAAAATACCATGATAGAGAAAAGAATACAATGGTAAAGCAAAGCATTTTGCTTCCATCTATGGATAATACTTGTAGAAACAGTAGTTAAGAAGTCAAATGGCCCATCTCTAGACAATTGGACATACCTTCCAGAGGGGTAGTGGGGAGATGAGTCACTTAGGGTACAGTATAGCAATAATGAAACCCACAACCTTCCTCTGGTTCTTAAACGCTTCCTCCCCGCAACTACCAGGACCCCAATATTGCCTTGCAGACCTGGTTAGACCAGATGATGCACAGCGGGACAGATGGGAATCAGAAACACAGGTAATCTAGGACAGATGAACCTCTCAAGACCAGGGGTGACAGTGGCGATACCAGGAGGGAAAGGGGGTGAAGAAAGGGGGAATGGATCACAGGGAGCTACATATAACCTACTCTCTGGGGGACAGGCAGCAGAAGGGTGGGTAAAGGAAGACGCCGGACAGTGTAATATAAGATACAATAATATTTTATTAATTAAGGGTGCATGGGGGAGAGGGGAGGAGGAAGGGAAGGGGAGTGGGGGAAAAAGGAAAATGAGCTGATTCCGGGAACCCAAGAGGCAAGCGAATTTTGGGAATAATGAGGGCAACAAAGGTATAGATGTGTTTTATACAATTGATCTATGTATTGTGATGAATTGTATGAGCCCCAATAAATTGATTTAAAAAAAAAGAAGTCAAATGGCATAATGGATTGAGCAAATCTGCTTCGCAAGATCCCTTTAAAGTTTTGTAGATCAAATATTTCATTTTGAAGATTAAAGTATGCTGGAACCAAGCCATAGTCTTTTCAGTTGCTTCATTACAAGTGGAAATTAGATAATGAATAAGGTAGGCTGCAGACAACTCGATGCATTTGAATTATGATGTTGGCAAAGAATTTTGAAAATCCCTTGAACTTTCAAAGGAACACAGACATCTCTGTCTTGGGAGACGTATCAGCAGAATGCTCCTCAGAAGTGAGGGTGGTGAGGCTTCATCTCGTGTCCGTGGGACAGGTTATTAGGAGAGATTGGCCCTAGAAAAGGACATCATGCTTGGAAACATCGAAGGTTTTTGAAAAGGAGGAAGACCCTCAAGGCGGAGAATGGACTGAGTGGTTGCAATCATGTTCTTTAAAATAAACAGTATTTTGAGGATTATGACTTCAAATTGACTTGAGAGCATCTAACATATTTTGCCTAAATTATACTTATTTTATGTGCACAAGACAATTTAGAGAATAGAATGAGTAATATTTGTTTTTTTAATTTTCATCATTACACTCGTTAGTTTAATACATATTAGTCAACACATGGAAATGTCAAGAACTTTCAAAATTGCCACACATGACCCACAATGTATCAAAAGTGAATAAGAACTGATGAAAATGATATAATTTTAAGTATTCTGCATTATCAATAAAATATTTCCCCAAACAAGGGAAGGATCTTACCGAGACCATGTCTGTGTGTCGACATCGGGGGCAAAACCGTCCACGTCTTTGTTTTAGGATTGTAGCATTCAACAGTATTCAGAGTCTTCAAGCCATCTCGGCCTCCAATGACAAAGAGTTTCTCGTCAATCACGGCCACTCCAAACTGCAGCCTCCTGCCGTTCATCACTCCTGCCTGGATCCACAGATTTGTTCTGAGGTCATATTTCTCAATGGTTGTAGCTCCTGATCAAACACAAAATCAAATAGTCACCAAGCGTTACTAATCAAATGCCCAGCCTGCCCAAGGCGATGAACAAATTAGGATGTGAAAACTTTCGTGTCACAGTCATTTCTCTTTTAAAAAGGGAAAGTGACAGAAAAACAAAGGCAGGACTTTATTTTCTCTTCTTGGCAGCCACTAATGATCAGAACAGACACAAATATGAGCCTTGCTGAATTACATGATAGCCTCACTCTAAACTATTGATTGAGTAGACACAGTCGGCCTGGCACAGCTCGTCAGTAGATGTTACAACTTTTCTGTATCATTGTTCTCCATTTAAAAAATATATAGCACCATCCTGGTATGGAAAAAATCAAGATTATTAAACACCAAGAAATACAATTTTGTCAGTATAAATTTCTTAAAGAGAAGTTAATTGAATAACGTGATCACTCTGGCTCCCTTAAAAATGTTTCTAATGCTTTACCAGAAGGTTTCAAAAAGTAATTTCAGGGATATGAGCAAATAACTTCCATGCTTCAACTTGCATCAAGGGATATACATGAATTCCTCTTAAAACCTTTGTGGCATCCAGTTCCAGTCAATTTTGACTAATAGGGACCCTAGGGGACAGAGTATCATTTCTCTATAGGAGCTTCTTGGCTGTAATCTCTAGCCTATGGAAATTGTCTGCCATAACGTTCTCCTTCAGAATTACATCTTTCTCCTGCAAAATCACATCTATTTCTTAGTTCAAACATGGAGTTTCAGTTAGCCGCGAAGTGCTTAACTACTTCTCCACCAAGGGTCCTTCTCTGAATAATAAATGATACTCAAAGCCAAACATGTTATATTCTGCATAGAAAATAACTCGTCATTCCTATAAGGCTTTTATATACAAATATTAGAAACCCAGTGATCCTGACTCGTGAAATTAGTACTGGAAAATGATACAAGTTAAATTGCTGTTTCATTTCAGTGGACTCACTTATGTATTCCACATCAAAAACGCCTGCCTACAATGAATTCACAAATGCGGACATTGTTATCACAACAATCACTGATGTTGCTTCAGTGTTTGATCTTGATGTTCAGCATCACATTCATGATTAACATTCTTCCAAAGGAATGTGTAATTTTTTTGATAGTTTCACTTAATCGCTTAGACTCCATTTTATTTGTATTAAAATAAAAGCTTGCATCTAGGTGAAAATATTCCTGTGAGATATATTCACTCATTGAAACCTAACTAGCACTGAAGGAAACAAAAGCAAGTATCTTAGTAACAGACATTTTAATACTAGCAATAAAAAAGCCGTATAATGTGTTCAGTTTTTATTCAAATGTCATTGAGGATTAATAATGTAATCACCAAATTACATACAATAAATTCCTTTATCCTAATGTAATTTAAATCTTCAGTTAATTTTCACATTAAATAACTGTAAAGTATTATAAATATATGAATGCTTAAAGAAGCATGTTAATTTTAAGTTACTTTTTATGTATAAATATTATATTTTATATTGAATGTTTTATTCAAATGTGTATATATTGTTAGTCCAAAGTGAGCTACATTTCTGAATAATTTTAAGTTGATTTATATTCTAAAAATGTTTCCTAATTGTGCACTAGAAATTAAGAATAAGGTCAGGTGCCTCCCTCCTGTGTCTCTCCCTTGCTTAATGATTGGCAGAAGAAATAGAACAAAATAATTGTAAATAGCCCACTACCAGGAGGCCCATATATTTTTAGATACAGTAGGAAATGAAGTGAGTGTTGAACATCTATACTTCCTTTAGTTTCCAGAGATATGGTCAAAGCATAATAAAATATTTTAGGTCCAAATATCCTCCTCAAAGAAAAATAATTGGCAGTGGATGAAATGAACCACTTCTGAATTATTGAAACATTTTCTATTTAAAATATGAAACTGAAAAATTTTGATTTAAGTTTGAAAAGCTCTCCACAACAAACTAGATATATCTTAAATAACAACACATGACAGGTTTTATTCTTTTTATAATATTTTCCCTTAAATTTCAGCCTTTGGATGTGTCTTATTTTTTTCTTTCAAAACTATTTTATTTGGAATGAATACAGATATCACACCATTCCATAGTTCAATCACATCTAGAAGTATTGTACAATTTCTCTCACAATCAGCTTCAAATATTATTTTCCTTCTAGAACTCCTTACTTCACCAGCAGCACTGATTATATCCCTCAGAATCATTTATTCTACTTTCTGTCTCTAGAGCTTCATAAATCATGGGCTTCATACACAGAAAAACAGAAAGTCCTATAACAAAGATTCCAGAAAGTCAGCCTCAATGAATTAACACATGGGGATAAACCCTAATATGAAAAAAGAAACCAAGAAAGTACAGAAAATGTTGCAAAGCAAAACACGTCTAATGTGCATCAGAGGGAGAAGCAACTGGCAACGTTTTAACAGTTCAAGTCAGGTTGATTCTTTTGATCTTCTATACTCACTTCTCCAATGCGCTCTATTTAGTAACCACTTTCCTCCCACCACACTATTCTGCACAGAGGGAAATCACTGGGGACTTATTCCCTATGTAGATCCCACAAATGTATTTTATTTGCCCACTGTCATCCATAGCCTTCTCCAAACCAGATTCTCATAATTTGGGCCTGATACTATTCTCTCCTTTGACTTTGGATTATGTGATTCACATTCCTTCAGTCACTGATGTTATGCTTTTTCCATGGGGAATTAGTTGACATCTCATTTAAATGACTGCTTGTTTGGAAACAAGCCTTTAAGACCCCCAAACTCTATTTAATCTGATAGCCGGGCAGCATCTAATGTCTTCACCTTTACTGAAAGCAAAGCAAATTTGAATTACTCTGTGGCAGTTACATAATCTCCTGTTAACTTGCAAAGGGTTAGAGTCTAGGCTGTCAATCAGGCCATAGTCAATGAGGCCTCCTTGTGGGCATGGCCTTCTCCTAAGGTTCTGGGAACTCTGATATACCTCCCTGGAGGCAGGAGACACTTTCTACTTGTCTTCCTGCTGACCAGCCACATGGAGACCCATGCCAACGGTGAGATACTTCTACTGCCACTGCATTCACAAGACTTCCACCCACTGGCCTCTAATCTTTCTGCATTCAGTGTCATTGAATATGTTGTGTGAGTCTGAAGAAGAAATTATATAGAGGGTGGTATCAGACATATGGACTAATGTCTGATTTATGGACTTAATTTGGACTGGTCTGGGATATTTTCTTAATATACAATTCCCTTTGATATAAAGTTTTCTATTACACACATATGAGTGTCTATGAATTTGTTTCTCTAGTCCACCCAGACTAATACATTATGGTACCTTGGGAGTGGGGTACTAGAGAAACAAATCATATAGATGGAGGGTGGGTGCTTGTTTGACCTCTGCCTTATGGTGTTTTTCTTCTTTGGCTACCCAGAAGTCAGACATGTCCATGTAGTTTACAGGGTTGTTTCTGGAAAGATAATGGGAAGTTAAAGTTTGGATCATTTGGGGTTTTTTTGGTCTTTGGTTATTCTTCTATGAAATGGTAAAAGATTAATGTATATTGTGAGCTCAGTGGACTGAATCACACCTTGAATTTCTCAGAGACCGTGTAACTTAGTGAAAATGGCTGACAGAAGGTCAAAATGGCAGAAGACACAACCCTGGCTTGAAGCTGTCAGAGGCCTAAGGCCATATTTTGTATCGGTGGAATAGTTTAGATAAAGATGTTGAACAATTTAAATAAGAATTTAATTTGACTGTTTTAAGAATTGATTTTTGTATATGATTCTACTATGTTTATACTGATTTTTCTGCTTATTTTTATTGATAAAATGATAGATAGAAATTATCATTGGGAAGTAAAAATAGAGAGTTTGTAAAATGACTTACCCTCAGCTAGTAAATTGGGATTTAAACGGCTTAGGACATGCCTGCAAAGAAGGCTCTTAAGTCCCACTCAGTGTCCTGAGTACTCAGAGCATTTGAAGGTGAAGAGACTTGCCTAGGGGCTGTTGACAGACTGAAGGGAATAAATTTTAAAAAAGGAAAGGTTTGGATTTTTGAATTTTGAAATAGTAGTTTTTGTCACAAGCTAAAAAATGTTGGAGCCATGAAGAAACTTTTCTCTCTAGGATTGAACATTAAAGGGGGCCTGTGGGCAGGCTGAAATGCTGGTTAGGTGAAAACCTGCATGCACTTGGTGAGTGGCATTGAAAGAAACACAGCAATAAAGGGATGGGTTGTCTGGCCACTGACACCCGTGGACCCGGTTCGTAGGGACTAGCAGAGAAAATGAGAGCAGGTTGACCCATCTGAAATGCATGACACAGCATAGAGGCTAAGGTTGTTGAGGATTTGTGACAGTGCCCATGGTGTAAAGGTGAGGTGACCGAAGGGCACCCTGGTGAGAGAAAGTGAGGCAGCCCACCCCCAACCAGATGAAGAGAAGATTTTTGAGCCTGTTGACTGGTCGTGTTGCTGCTGACTTTAGGGATGGCTTGTCCTGATTTGATTTTGCTTATGGATGCAGACTTCACAAGGATCCAACTAGAATGAAGATTCTTCACAGCAAAGAATAGAATTGTCTCTTCAGAACACTGGGTTGATATAAGTGGGTAGTACAGTAATTGGGTACCAGAAATGGGGCAGATAAAAGCATGATGTGGCTGGTTTACAAACTTTTATAGGTGGGGGAATATTCATATTCATGGGATTATGGTATTGATGTTCACATAAGTATAGAATATTTTTGTTTTGTTCACTCATAGAATATTATGTTTAAATGAGACTTTAGCACATATTGAATTGTATGCATTTTAGTTTTATACTATTAGGTAAAGATATGATTTTATTATTTTGTTTAAAATATATATATGGTTAAAGAGTTGTATAAAAGTGTCAAGTTGACAAAGGAAGGTCTGTGACAGTTACAGACTCTCCTGCCAACTTGTGAAGGCATGGAGTCTAGCCTGTCAATCAGGCCATAGTCAATGAGACCT